GGGGTATACGCTGTGGTCAATTGCCTCTTCACTCCATGTTTGCAAAAATTGTTGAATTCTCCTCCTCTATCTATCCTTAAACATTTTATAGGCATTCTAATTTCTTTTTCTACCATTATTTTGAAACATTTGAAATGATAAAATGTTTCTGATTTTTCTACAAGAAAATAACTCCATGACTTCCTTGAAAAACCATCTATAAAGCACAACAAATATTTTTTCCGGCTCCTTGAGGCGGGTGAAATTGGACCACATAGATTTGCATGAACAAGGCCCAATTTTTCAATTACTCTCCGTTTAACCATTTTTGAAAATGGAGTTCGATGTTGTTTGTCTTTCATACATGGCTTCACAGGTGGTGTTTGGAGCTACAATTTGCGGTAGACCTTTCACCATGTTTTTGTGTTTCAAGGTGCACAAGTCTTTGTAGCCGAGATGACCATAATGATGGTGTCAAAGTGTTGACTGATTCGTATTTGAAACTTGGAGGCATCTTCCATCATTTGTTGTGACAGATGGTTCAACAAGAAAAATGAAAAGTCGATTTGTACTCATTGTTAACTCTGCCATTTTTCCTTTTTGTGGATGATAGATACTACATACACCATATTTGAATAGCACTGCTACTCATTTTTCTTGTAGTTGTCCAACGCATAAAAGATTATTTTTGAGTTCAGGTACCCAATATACATTACTAACCGTGTAACGAACCCCATGAAAAATTAATTTCACTGCACCCTTTCTAGTAACTTTCATACTTGTATTATATCCAAGCTTGACATTGTGGGAAAAGATCTTGTTTAAGCTTAAAAACATACCTTCATTTGCACACATATAGTTTGAGCAACTAGAATCTAAGAACCAAGCACTACTTCTTTTTGCTTCATGTCTTTCCATATGAGTCATTAACAAAATTTCATCCTCTTTTTCCATAATTCAATTTCTTGTTCATCTTTGGACATTCATATTGAAAGTGACCCAAGTCATGACACCTACAACATTCAACAGTTGATTTGTTGAAATTTTATCTTCCTCTTCCGCGTTCTCTGTCTCTGTGTGTTTCTCTTCCTCTGTTACTTATTTCCGTTCGACCTTCGACTTTAGAACTTTCTCCTCTCCATTAATATTGGATCTTCGAAATGTTTGTTCATGCATCACTAATAAACTTTGTAATTCATTAATGGACATGTTATCATTATTTTTGGATTCTTCAATGGATATTAAGACATAAGTAAATTTTTTAGTCAGGGTACGCATAATTTTGTATACAATTTTCTTGTATGACATATCTTCTCCATTGCTTCAAATCTTGTTGAAGTTTATCATCACTCTTGCAAAACAATTTGTAATACTTTCATCATTCTTCATGTCTAGGATCTCGAATTCTCTCCTTAATGCATTAAGAAGAGGTTTCTTCACTTTTTGGTTTCCACCAAACTTTCGCTTCATTGAGTCCCAGACAACCTTGGTTGTGCGACGATCCAATTTTATTCAAAGACGGTACTATCAATTTCCTGGAAGAGGTAATGCTTTACTTGGTGATCTTTGAGTCTAGCATCATATCATCAAGGTGGCCCTTTTGTACTTAAGTCAACATTGTTCCTTCCACTGGTTCTGAGAAATCAATCTCTACCACACTCCATAGACCATTTGCTCTAAAAAAAAATTCCATCAGCTCACTCTAGTGATCATAATGACCATCAAAGTGAGGGATCTTCGTTAAAGTTTTGTCTTCACTCATACTCTTTGTATTTGATCACTCAAAAATTGCTTCTCTACAAAGCCTAGTGGTGGCTCTGATACCAATTGTAATGTTTTGACAAAAGAATGACTAAGTCAGAAACATGAACCATTGGAGTTTAAGTGATGATATTATTGAATACTAAACATGACTTTTATAGCTTTACAAATAACAATAGAAATAGAAACTAACCACAAATATTGCAAAGTAGTTAAACTAAATAGGTAAAAATACTCTAACTATTTATTTGATTTGATATAATCAAATTATTCTAACAAAAAAATGACTTCTCAACAACTTAGCTAGAAAGAATATTAAAGCCAAATCCAAAATATATTAATACAACTATTATAGAAGACAAAGTTAAAAAGCCAAAGACATACGAAGAAACTTCACACAATACGACTTCATAGCAAGTAATGGAGTAAGAAATTATAACCTTTGAGCAAAATCAAACTTGGGAACTAGTGTCAAGACCAATAGATATCAAACTCATCTCTTGCAAGTGGGCTTACGAAATAATGTGTCTCTCGGATGGATCAACCGAGAGATACAAGACTCAACATGTTGCTCGAGGGTTCTCTCAACAATATGGACTAGATTATGATGAAACGTTTAGCCCAGTGGCGAATATCATTATCATATATGTTCCTCCAGCACTTATGGTAAATAAATATTGAAAATTATGGCAGATGAATATGAAAAATGTTTTATTGCATGAAGAGTTGGATTAGGAGATCTACATGAACCAACCAAATAGATTTGAAAAGGAAGTTGGAGTCATTACTCAATACATGCAAAGTGCAAAGAAGCCTCATTTGGATGCGGTTCGATAGAGCTTGAGATATGTCAAAGGTACAATCAATTATGATCTTTTGTACAAAAGAAGCAAAAACTGCAAGCTAGCTAGATACCTTGATGTTGACTATGCAGGATATCACGATACCCGAAGATCAAACATCAGGTATGTGTTCAAACTTGGTTCGAGAACAATTTCTTAATGTAACAAAAGACAACCAGCAGTATCATTGTCAACTAGAGAAGCAGAAACAGAGCAGCTCAGAAAAATACACGACTGAAACTATTGATGGAAGATTGGCACCAAAAAATTGACTATCTAATACCACTTCATTGTAACAACCAATATGCGATTAGCCTAGCAGAAAATTCGATGTTTCATGCTAGAACAAAGAATGGGAAGGTACACTACCATTTCATTAGAGCGAAAGTCCTGAATGACGAAATCGAGATGAAGTGGATCAAGACAAAAGACAAAGTGGCAGACTTGTTTATAGAAGAGCTAACAATGAAAACTTTTTTCATTGTTAGCTGAACATGGTGCAACGAATGAGAACTAGTGTTATGTAGAGTGTTAAAATATCATCACTAGCGTCAACCCCAATAATTGTATGAGTTGATCCTATATTATTTTTAGAAAATTATTTAGGTATTTTAAAATAAAGATACCCATCTATTTTAGGAAAAACATCTAGATATCTTAGGAATTGATTGTCCCCCCGTACCCCTCCACCTTATATAGGTTTTCATAAAAAAAAAAAAAAAAAAAAAAAAAAAAAAAAAAAAAAAAAAAAAAAAAAAAAAAAAAAAAAAAAAAAAAAA